GAATAGCCTACCATTAATCTGAAACCACTTCTAGGGCTAAAATCACCATAAATACACCAAGTTAAGTCCCTCTGGCCATACATCTTATTAACTCACTAATTACTCTCATTAGTTTAATAGACTAAGATTAAAATTTTTTGGATGTTACACGGGCTATTGTGTGAAGATAACATGTTTTTGGGAAAAAAGAGCTCTTTATTAAGATTGTGGATTGAAAAATTTTATAGATTTGCCATTTTTCTGGACATCATTAGAGAAACAAATCCAAACTTTGTTCCCTATTGAAAATACAACCATAGTTAAAATTATTACTCACAAAAATATTTTAAATAAGTACTTGCTTCAATTGTACCATGAACTATAGCAAATAGCATTCGAGAAATAGGTTAGCCTAGGAGGCTAGCCTGTTAACCTCCTAAAAATTGACAAGTTAAGTTGAAAATCTTTAAAAAGCAAGCTAATATAGCTCGTCTTACCAAAAGAACATGCTAGCTCCCCTTTTCATTTGCTCACTTTATTATTTTGATTCTAATAAAATGAGAAGCAACTAGTTTGCACTTATCTTAACTATAATGCTTTAAGCTAGGAGCTTGGTTCCATGTGTGTTTTCTCAATTTTCATTGATATATCACTTTTACATAGACAAAATGATTATGTAAAATAGATGACATGTTATATTTACGGGTGTCAAAGTTAATTTAATGATGCAACTTTATGAAAACATAAAAATAAATTGAATTTAGCTTGCAAATTAGTAATTCAATTTGAAAATTGAAAAATAAAATATTTGAAAATGTAAAAAAGAAAAAGAGGGTTGGTGGGGCATGCATATACAATGAGCTTCCAACCTTCTAGAAGGTGAGTTGATCAAAGCCACCCTATAATATTCTAAATTTTAAACCTAAAATTTATAAGTTAATTAAGGATATGTTTAGTTAAAGGATTTTGGAAGGGAGGGGAAATGGTTCCCTCCTCTCATTTGGTTAAGAAATTTGAGAAGGGAGCCCTCCCCTCCAACTTGGGGTTTTCTAGAGGGGGCTAAAATGTCTAACAATCCTACCCTTTTTTAATTAGCATTTTCTCTTGCGATAACAAGCTTATAGACTCCTTTACCCTATTGATCAATTACAATTCAATCAAGTAAGCTAGCCTAGATGTATGGGTGCTTAAATTTTAAATGGAATAACTTTTTGTTGTAAAATTGGTGCCAATAAGCTTAATGTAAATGCTTAAATTACTTTGATCAGATGTTGGATAGATAAATAGTGCATGCTAGAAGTTCACCTTTAGATGCTATCAAGATAGCAAAGTTTATTGTCATGAATTTTTTTTGTGTCGTAATGTATGACACAGTGGCATTTAGCTACTGCACAATTGACTTTTGGTCGCAACAGGCCTTGTCCATGTTTTTCGCCATGACAGATGACATATAGACTACAATAGACAGGCCGGGTTAAGAGAAAGTGATGTTTTTGCCCTTGTTTTCAATGTTTTCTCTTTTCTCGATGATTGCCATGCTTTTGAATTTATTTTAAATTTTAATTTATCATATATGTTGAGCTCAACAAATTTTTTAAAGGATTTTATTGGGATCTCAATATCAAAATGTTTTAGTATGACATACTCTTTTCTATCAAGATAAATCTAATTATTAGATAACTTCTGATTACCATGATAATATTTATATATGGCTTGTTCTAGTAATGTCAAGGTAAATATTACATACCCACCCCACCCCACATGTTAACTTGTATTATTGTTTTTTTTAGATAGATATTAAGAGTAGATGCCATTAATAATCAATATTTTTTTTTCAAGTATTTAGGGCAAATGATAGACCCCTCTTAACCTACATGCTAACTGTATTACCTACTTTTAACACCCCATTTACCACCATAAATTAAAGGATTTATTTATTTGTTCTTCATGTTTTGTCCCAAGAAAAGTGTAAAAGTGATTACTGTGCTCATAAAGAAAAAAAAAGGTTATAGGAAGCTTTGACGTTGACTTTCACAAATCACTTTATCATATAATAAATAATTCATTGGTAAGTTAAGAATGAGAAAGTTTTACATAAATTAGGTATACTATATCATTTGTAATCTATTTAATTAGAATGTCTGAAATAATCTAAAATAAAATTTCATATGAATTATTTTAATTGATTTTATTCATATCACATAATGCATATTGAATTTCTTATCCCTTCTCTCTCTAGAATTATTGATGTCAAAATTAATTTATAGTTAATGTTATTTAAATGTCGTATTTTTATTGGATAAATCACAAATGACATAGCACACTTGGTCTATCTAAAAATTTTCCATTAAGAATGAAATCTATCAAGAGATATAATAAAGGAGATTCAAATCACACGGTTCAAATAAACGAACAAAATAGAAATAGATAACCAAGGAATTATGAAGCTTCTTCATGAAGGACATGGTAATGTGTTCTTTTCTAGTCTTTAACATTGGGATTACATTGTCTTGCCTCTTGTAACCTCGTATCCATCTCTAGAAACACTGAGAAGGGAATGTTGGAAATGGATGGGTGTGCTTGAAGGTTATAACTGGAAGTTAAGTTTTTAATGAATGGAATAATGCCTAACATGTACCGTAGGTCACCAAATATAGTGGCTGAATGGAATAAAATTAGTATATTGTTGCCAATTTGATCTTTCATTTGCGATGGCTGTAATAGCAATATTGTTTGTTAGGATGACGTGGAATGAAAAGCCATTTGCTGTAGAGTGCAAACACTGTATATTTGAGTGTGTGGATTGCAGTCAATTAATTAAAATTTTAAGGTAAATATTCGTGGGCTTGCCGCAACCATTTGTATATTTGAGTCTCATGGAATTAGAATCTCAACGACCAGTTCAATTTCATGCAACACTACTTTATGACCAACACAAGATCACAAAAATATGACATCAGCATCTAGAACAATCACAAAGGTGATTGACTTTTCCACATTTAATCCAAGATGTCATTCATTTATTAATGAATTCAATTTTTTATCCTAATGGTATGAGCTCGAAATTTTTTAAAGTGAGTTATGTGTTCTTTAACTCCATATTGAAAATTACATAAATATATCTCTTCTACTTTTCAAATACATTTTTTTAAGGAAAAAACTCTTCAATCTTAGTTTACTTTTAAACTTCACTATCAAACTATCATTCTTTTAATCTGAAAATAAAAAAATTGCAGAAGATCCTTAATGTAATTTTTAGATCTAGGATCATTTGGAGAAGGCTTCTCGATTGTGCCATAGTGAGCTTTATAAGTTGAGGAAATGTTTTCTTTCGGAGTCACGCACCAATATTCATAGTACAAAAACTCCAACAAAACAATGTGTATTGAATGCAAAAATAACCGTGTAAGTGTTGTGTGAATTTAATAGAATAAGTTTTGACTTTTTTAAAGTATTGTTGCTTCTTAGAAATATTATAATGTAGTCAATTTTAGATGGAAGCCAGAGGGGGAGAAAACAAAGCAAAAGACTAAAAGTTGCTTCTGTCAGATGGATAATGTGTTAATTGTTGAAGGCATTATTTTTATTTTAAATTTTAAATAAGGGGTAAATATGTCATTTCATAATAAATTGAGATGTCTAACAAATCGCTAAGGACTAAAAAATAATTATCACATTTGGTGATACCTATTTCTCATTTACATGTTTCAAATGTGTTTTATTATCATTCTCCCTAGAAAAAAATAGATCAAGCTCTGTGTGCTTTATTTAATCATGGACATTACGATGCTCAAATAATCTTAAAAAGTATAGAAGAGGACTCAAGATATTAAACTTTAGATGGCTAAGGTCTTATTTGGTATCATTGAATTGACAAAGTGGAAATAAAATTATAAAAGGAATCTAGATCTAAGAATATTTGGCAGACAAGAAATGTGATTTTCAAGGAATTCAATCTCAACAAAAAGGCTAGAATCTAATTCCATCACAATCTTAATCCAATTGATTGGATTCCTTGAAATTCCGCTTCAAACTTTAATGCCCTCAGTTTCTACACTTCATCTCTATTGTAACTCTACCTTTCCACATCCCCATCACCTTGATGATGGTGCTTCACCCTCCAATACAATGGAAGCACTGACCTTCTCTCCAGCTTGAAGCTCAACTTTGACAAAGCTCAACCTCTACATGCTAGTGACATTTACACAAAGATTGAAGCTCAACTTTGGCTCCATCACTACTATTGAAAGTCTCAACTGTTGTTGGGAACACTGTTAAAACTTGGTAGAAAGCATATTCAATTAAGAAGATTAAGCTAGTGCCAAAGGCGATGATTGTTCTATCGTTGGTGAGATAGCTAAGTTCATTGATGCACCATTTCGAAGAGTTGATCTAATTATTGGTTGAGTTGTTTTAAATTAAATGTTAGGTTCTTGGAATTTTTTTTTAATTTTTTTTGGGTTTTGATCTAAGTTTAGTTGAGGTTTTTGGACAATCAAGGTGATATGGTTGCCACACACAAGGGAGGAACTCAATAGTTGTGGTTGGCAATTTTAAGTTCAAGTGATTTTTTTATTTTTATTTGACAAGGATAATTTAGTAATTTTACATTATAAGTATACTTATCAAAGAAAAATTTATTTGTATTTCATTTTCATAACAAACATATTTTTATAACCTCATTCTATTCCATTTTAATTTTTAATTTTGATTCCGATTCTTTCAAAAAATCTTACACTATACCAAATGGTGTATAATAGCTCATACATCTTGTTATTTGCTATAAATTTTATATTTATATTAACTATTAACAATGATATTTATGTTGATATATTGATAATTGATATTATGCATAATGAATAATATTTAAACTAAAATCTTAAAATGAAAAAAATCCATTATAAATTCGGATCATCCATGTGTAAATTTAAACTGTCCAAAATTTTGTCTGAGTCTCAGAATTTTTTGATAAAAAAATAATTATGCCAAGGATTTAAGAATCAATACCCGCTGCAGCAAGGCTAGGAGTTGGCCCAAAAAAAAAAGGGGGGGGGTCCCGGGCAAAGGTTACGCAACCCACAATCGCTTTCGCAGAGCGTCTTGGGAAGGCGGAAACAATCATCAGGGATCAAAACGACCACTGGCCGTTTAATCGTCTCCGTCGAAGAAAATCTCCGAGTCTCGTTTTGTGCTGGTATTGATCGGCCCTGAAAGAGGAGGGACGAGAGGCTGACACCGAATAAAGATGGGAGAAGAAAAGCGACACCAGATGATGCAGAACCTCTTCGGTGATCAATCAGAGGAAGAAGAAGAGCTTGATTCCGAGCATGAATCGAATCCCCAACCCACTTACGCTTCTGTATGATACGGTTTCTCGTTTCTTATCCCCAAATTCCCCTTTTTGCTTGCTGTTTGAATGTGCAATTTCATTGTCTGAGCCTCCGAGGCTAGGTTTCCCGTTTCTCATCCCCAAATACGAGTATCGGTTTGTCGGTTTCAAATTCATTCTGTGTTCGGACCTGTATTCTTATTTGTAAACTGCAATTCTACATTCAGTGTAGCACTGCACATTCCTGTAGAGAACGGGGCAGACTTTATGGCCGTCTGTTTACTGCTTTTTGAAACTTTGGGAATAGAAAGATGTTCTTATCTTTCGAGTGTATACATTATAAGTTGACTGCTTTCTGTTTCATCTCTTACGTGTAGTATGATGAATTGAAAATCGTTTTGTTTTTCTTCAGGATGAAGGGGAGGGGGGGATAGAACCTGAGGTTGAAGGGGAAGGGGAAGGGGAAGGTGAGGGTCATGGGGAGGTGGAAATAGAAAGTGAAGGTGACGTGCCTGATGGGGATCCAGATCCCGGTGAAAGTGAAGGAGAGAGGGAGCAAAGTTCCCAAGAGGTAGATATTGTTGATCAAAGAGAAGAAAGTGAAGCAAGATATTCAGATAGTGATGCAAAAGACAACTACAATCAGAGAGTTGTAACTAGCAAGCGTAGGGATGTGATTGAGAGTGGATCTGAGAGGTCAGAAGAGCACCATTATCCTGAAAATGATGATGAGGAAGTCGACGAAGCTAGAAGTCTAAGGTATCTTTAACAGGTTCTACACGCACACACGTCATGTAATACAGTAACTTTTTTCTGTTCTAGACTGTTCAGTGCACGCTCTAATGAACCTAATGACTGAGGTTGTTTGGTTATCTAAGTTTTTTTTTTCTAAATCTGTTTGAATGGTTGTGTGTGTTAAATTATGCCTTAAATTAGATGATGGAATAGATTAGTGACCGTGTTGAGGACTTGTGATTTATTGGCTTGTGCATGAACTATTGCAAGATTTAGTGAATGAAAATTATCTTTTGGCAGTGAATCACCCAGAGATGATAAGGATCGGACTCGCATGTTGCATTCTGCTCCTGAAATTCGTGATGTGTTTGGTGATTTTGATGATGAAGAGGAGGAGGCAGAATATGCAGTTCGGCATGACATTGAGCATGATTCAAATGTGAGTGAGAGGGGCCAATATTAAGATTTTTCTACCTTTTCTCCTAGTACTTTGAATTTAAGCATAAGACTAATTATTTTCCTGTCTTAGAGATCTCCTTTGGAGGAGGAGGAAGGCAGTTATGGAAAGAGCTTAAGACCAGAGGACATAATTGCTGATGAAGAAACTCATTACGAGTCAGAGGAGGATAACATTGAGATGAAACTTAAAGAGAAGCCACTTGGGCCCCCATTGGAGCTAGAAGTTCCACTTCGACCACCTCCAGCTTTTCCAGAAAAGGTATGCCTTTAATATGTATTGAAAATATCATGTCTATTGATGATTCTTTATTTCTCAAAGTGGATGGACAAGACACGTAACTAGTTCTCTGATTTTGCTTATGCTAACATCTTTATAATTTCGAAGGTTGCAAATTTAAAGGAGCTTAGGTGGATGTCAGAATTTTGAACAAAGTGCATAATGTATACTTTTAGGACTACTGTTTGATTATCACTTTACTAACCTGTTTGTTGAAATGGTAATGCAATCTTACATTTTGATACTGAAGATCATGCTTAATAGATTAGTACTGTTTTACTATATAGGTGCTTAATCTGCATATTAAAATTACTTATATAAAATCATATGCACTATGTTGACTGTATATGTTGAGTTTCGGCACTCACTTTTGTTTTTGGGCAGATGAACATGATCAAAGTATCTAATATTATGGGTGTTGACCCAAAACCATTTGATCCTAAAACATATGTTGAAGAGGATACATTTGTTACTGATGAATCTGGAGCCAAGAAACGCATACGCTTGGAGAACAATATTGTGCGCTGGAGGAATGCGAGAAATCCTGATGGCACGCTGACTGTATGTAGCAATATATCGTTGTAGTTAGTTTTTCATGCTCAAATGATCGTAAGCGTTCAATTCATGCCCATGGATAGGAAGGAAGATCATGCTTTATATAAACTGTTTATGGTTTTTATTAACTTTCTTTGTTCTCTCCCTTTTTGTTCTTTACAATTGTCCTTTTTTTGAGTGCTAAAATGTTATTTAAAATAACAAGCCTGATACTGAGTTAGGTCTAAACTGTTGAGGTAGAATTTCTTTGGAGAATGTAAAGTTCACAGGTTCTTTTGACATGTGGCTTAAACCTCTACTTGATTGATAGCATTTGTTTTTGCTGCAATGGACAAATAAATCGTTTTCTGTATTTTGCAAGTTGAGATAATGTTAAAGAAGTATTAGAATTTGGAGGACGAAATTTGAACATCACATTGGTCAATGATTTATTTATTTTGTGTTCCTCCTTTGTTTAATTTCCCATTGATTTGAACCAGGTGTGATTGAGAAGGTCTATTGTATCTAAGTTGAGTTGGTGAAGCTGTAATTTTAAATGGTAAAGGTTTAAAAGATGTTATATGACAGGCCTTAATGGAATAGGTAGTTTAAAGCTTCAATGAGGCTTCTGACAGGGTTGTTTCTGAATAAAATTGCTTCATGGTTGTGTCTGCACATAGTACCTTGGAGTCCATTGTATCACGGTCTAAATATATATAACTTGCATAATTAGTTTGTTCTATGTACCGGTCACACTATCAGCTTGAAGGCAATTTTCTTAAATGCGTGTGTATTAAGAGTGTGGATGTATAAATAAGCTCTATTGATGTATGAAGGCAAAATGGTTGCATATGGTTAATGTTTTATTCTTTTGTGAAAAGTTCTGCTTTTAATACCAGAACTATTTCAGTTTAACTGTAGCACCCTTACTCTTTGGTAGAAAATGTCATTGATGATCAAGATGAATTACTATTGGTTTTATGCTGATGCAGCGTGAAAGTAATGCTCGTTTTGTAAGGTGGTCTGATGGCAGCTTGCAGTTATTAATAGGGAATGAAGTTCTTGACATATCTGTGCAAGATGCACAACATGATCAAGCACATCTTTTTCTTAGACATGAGAAGGTGAGTTGTGATATGCTATATATCACTTTCTTGCTAGTAATTGTTTATTCTCTAGAGAACCATGTGCCCGACACTGGACAACGTGTGCAGGGGATCCTCCAATCACAAGGAAGGCTATTAAGGAAAATGAGATTTATGCCATCTTCCTTGTCTTCAAATTCTCATCGGCTGCTGACTGCCCTCGTGGATTCAAGACATAAAAAAGTTTATAAGGTTAAAAATTGCATTACTGACATTGATCCTGAGAGGGAAAAGGAGGAAAAAGAAAAGGTATAATTTATTTGGATAGTAGTTTCATGCCTTTATTGCCCATCTTGGTACTAATCTCCTATTTTTCTATGGATTTTGTAGGCGGAAAGTCAAACCATCAGAGCTAATGTACTTCTTAACCGTAAAAGAGAAAAGGTGAACCGGAAATATGCTCCACCTGTAGATAGGAGGCGCCAACTTTCTCCTGGGTTTTTGGAGGATGCTTTAGATGAGGTGTGCTCTCAAAATATTGTTTCCTGCCCAGTCATTGTAGCCTTCATTTGCATCTGCATATGCCAGAGTCTTTTCTAGTCTCATGACCCACGTAATAACTTCTTCTCTGCCAGTTTGTTTAATCTTCCACTTTTCTTTTTTCAGGAGGATGAAACAGATTATTATAATTCTCATCGTGCTCATCGTCGCTTTGATGATGATTTTGATGTTGAAGCACGTGCAGAGAAGCGAATTATGAATGCTAAGAAGGTATTATCACTCTGTATTCTGATGGTCTGAATTTTGCTGGTTATTTTCCTTCTATCACTAAATGAAGGTTCTTTTCTGGGATTGTAGTCACAGCCACCCAAAGATATCCCTCGAAGGTCATCTTTCCCACCTGTGAAGTCATCCCGGCGCCCAATCGAGTTCTCAGATGATGAGAGAGAGGAATCTGAGTATGAAACAGATGGTGAGGAAGATGATCGACCTCTGCCACGAAAGAGGGCTGAGGATACTGAACCGGAGTATGAGGATGAGGAAGAAGAAGATGAAGAAGAACATTATGAAGAGGAAGCACAAGTTAATGATGCATCAGAGGAAGAGGAGGTCTTTATATTTTCAAATAATTTAGTTTGCTTTAAGATTTATTAGACTTGTCAATGAATAAGTAGGCATAAACTGTCTTTTGTGTTTCATTGCTTTGAGAAATTTGGTCTTTTAGATTCGTTTTTATACAGTTTGAGATCGAACATTAGGGATTATATGCAACTTCTTTTGCACTTCGGTAGCTTTTTCCTCTCATTTTTTCCCCTTACGTTGACATACAAGTTATTGGTAGCAGCAAAACTATTTTGATTTTCATTGGCGGGATATAAAGTTTGTAGACTGTGGTAAATTGTAAATACCAATGATAAGTGTTGGGCATCTTCACCAAAGGAAAAATCTTGAATTGCTGCTTGGAAAGTTTTGACCATTTCTTGGAAAGAAATTTTTGGCATGTTCTCTGGATTAATCTTGAGAACTTTTGATAGAATATTCTAGTTTTAATTAATGCCTCATTATTGTAGTATCAATAGATCAATAGAGCGTATACTTAGTTGTGTTTACTACTAATGCTATCATCATCATCATTATTATGGCTTCACCTGTGGAACTCCTACAATCCGTGAGAGCTGTTGTACGTGCCTTTTGCGCAACATGAAAATGCAGTAGTAGTTCTTTTTTTTTTTTTGGGTGCGCACATGGTGCCGTAATTTATTTAATACTATAATGTAGAATATAAAATTAGGACCATGATTAATTGCTGCAGTTTCAATTTTTTTTATTTATTTTTTGGCAGGAACCAAAACAGAAGAACAAGGAGATCAGAGGCATCATGAAAAGGAAGGGTTTTGAGTCAGATGAGGAATCTCCTCCGAGGAAAGCAGCAACCCATGCCCATAGGCGAATGGCAGTTGTTTATGATAGTGATGAGGAGTGAATTTCTTCAAAACCAGATTACTTTCATGTGAGCGTACCTTAAACTTAATTGTGAAACTCGAGTGTAATTAATTTGTCATTTCTTTGAGGGGAGGCCAGCATAATGAGACCTAGTTTTTTTGGAGATGACGAGGAATGCAACTTTTCCCCCCTTTTTTGATGGCTGAATTTTGTCTTGTCTGCTTGGTTGGAGGGGAATGGAGGGGAGGGGAAATGAGTTCAATTTTTAAATAGTGGAGAAGTGGGGTGAAAAGCTTTTAATTAATTTTGCTTGCTCTTTTAATTTACTTTACATATTATCTTTATTAAAATTTTATAATCCTGCTTATCCATTTTTCTTCAAATCGAAGTCATTAGAAACTTCCTTTCCCCTACAACCAAAAGGGGGTTAGTTTAAAATGCCATCTGAATGCAGCCTGCCATCGTATTAGGTGATTGTTGATTTTATTTCACATCAGACGGGTCAAGTGACTGGTAATTCTTAATGTTCCCGTGGAGTCGACCACCTCGTGCTTTTCCCCTGTTTTTATGGATCCTTGCGATTGGGATTGCCAAGAGCAATGTGGTTGAAGGCAGCTTAGCAAATTATTGAATGCATCAGGAGCCAACGTGGCTCATCTTTTCTCCCTACTTCGCTTCCTTTGCGCAGTTGAATCTAGTTATTCATCTTTACGTACGACGGAAATTACTCTTTTTGTCTCCGTGAAAATTTAACGGAGTATCTTTGGATCATTCACAAAAGCATGCAACTGCGCTTGAATTATCTTCTGTAATTAGCTTCAATGTCTTCTTTTGTAATTGCATAAATGTTTACCGGCCTGTTCAATGAAAAAAAGTTTGATGCTTGCCGAGTCACTAGTTTTGGACGATCATCATTGTATTTTCAAGCATCATTTAAAGAGATGTAAATATCTAAAAATAAAATTTGAGGGATTAAGGAAAGATGAATGGTGGAAAAAGTATATGATGAGCGAGAAGTGACAGTTAAATTCAAAATGCACCTATTCAATTTATTTTGGGAACAATCACAATTTACTCTATCTAATATGCAAAATTAGCTATTAACCTTTTCAAAATTTTAATTCTCCACAGCTCGGTCTTTTTGTTTGAATTTATAAAATATTGGTCCTGCCTACGTGTAACCTTTCTGTACATGCCACTTAATGGAATGTATTTTATATTTCTTGTTTTACATTTTCTTTTATTTTGGAAAGATTCTATAATAAATTTGGAAGAATGAATCATAGGCCAAGGATGGAAAGAATGAATCAATATCAATATATTAATATATACTCAATTTGGTCTTATTTATAAATGTTTGAAATATTTTTCACTTATTTAAGAAAAATTATTATGATTATGATGTTTTGTTTGTTAAAAATCTTGCAACTTTTCAATTATAAGTATTTGTTATCTACGCGAATGTCTTTTCAAATTAAAGGATAAACTGAAAAATTATTTCTTTTGATTTAACATCTTATAATTAAGATTAGTTTTTATTTTTATAAAATATCTTACAAACATGACTAGAAAATAGCAAGTACTTTAGAGTTATCCTATATTTGGGTAGTTATAATGTAACTTATATTCACACTTCCAAATTCAGTGAACTTTTTTTTTTTTTTTTAAACATAAGGAGTAGGTTTTGACAAATGTAGAGTGATAGACAAACCTTTTTCAACTAAATTGTTACATACACAAAAGTGATGATTTAAAATTTAATTATTTATTTAATTGAAAATAATCTTTATTATTCATGTTAATTTTAATTAATAAAATCACTTGAACTTGAAACTAGGCCCACCTCCAAAGGTTGGCGTCCTTTATGGAAATATAAAAAAAGACTGGGCTTCAGAATCTAAAAGCGGATTTGGGCCTTGTCTGTACATTCTGGGGAAATCCAGTGACCCCAACTTGATTCACCTAACAGCTCGAATTTAAACAGGCTCACCAAAATTTGGAAGCGACTCTTCTAGGAGCTTCTGCGTTCGCTCGCGAAGGTCCACAAGCCTTCCAGATGCCTCTTTTGGATCAGATATTCACATCTCCCTCCCCCGCTCACCTCTTCACTCTGAGCTAACCAAATTCGCGAAACGTTTTCATCTACTCTCACAACCAAAACTCCCGAAGGGTTCTGTACGTGCTTCTCTCGCTCTTTGCTTCAATCGATCAAGGCGTCAAAACTTGCTAGTCCAATTGGCTTCGTAGTTTTTCGTTCTTACTTAACTTTTTCTTGTTGCTACTTCCGACAATTGTTCATAAAGTTTTTATCTCCCCCTTACAGGTATGCCAATTTTTATCCCTTTTGTGTTTAATTGTGTTGTTACTGTGATGTTGGATACTTGATGCGTTCTTGATTTTGCGTCGTTATAATAATTTGGGTCCTTTATGTGTGTCACGGTACTTGCGCTTTCTTTTCTTTTTCTTTTTTATTATTTTTTCATCATCACATAGGTTTCTGAAATTCTGTATTATCCTCTCTTTGTAAGGTTCTAAGAGGCAAATGAATCCTGATAAGTTCACCCATAAGACCAATGAGGCTCTTGCCGGAGCACATGAGCTGGCAATGAGTTCTGGCCATGCACAATTCACACCCCTTCATCTCGCAGCTGCTTTGATTTCTGATTCCGCTGGCATTTTCTCCCAATCAATTTCTAGTGCCGCAGGGGAAGAAGCTGCGCGTGCTGCAGTGAGAGTCTTCAATCAAGCGTTGAAGAAATTACCGTCTCAGTCTCCTCCTCCGGATGAGATACCCGCTAGTACGACCCTCATCAAAGTTATTCGGAGGGCACAAGCAGCGCAGAAGTCGCGCGGAGACACTCATTTAGCTGTTGATCAATTGATTCTGGGTCTTCTTGAAGATTCCCAGATTGGCGATTTGCTGAAGGAATCTGGGGTTGCTGCGGCAAGAGTGAAATCAGAGGTAGAGAAGCTTCGTGGCAAGGAAGGGAAAAAGGTTGAAAGTGCTTCTGGGGATACAACCTTGCAAGCACTGAAGACTTATGGGCGGGACCTCGTTGAGCAAGCAGGTAAACTTGATCCTGTCATTGGCCGTGATGAGGAAATACGAAGGGTAGTGAGGATTTTGTCAAGGAGGACGAAGAACAACCCAGTCCTCATAGGAGAGCCAGGAGTTGGTAAAACAGCCGTGGTAGAAGGTTTGGCGCAGAGGATAGTTAGAGGAGATGTTCCTAGTAATCTTGCTGATGTGAGGCTTATAGCGTTGGACATGGGTGCTCTGGTAGCCGGTGCGAAATACAGGGGAGAGTTTGAAGAGAGGTTGAAGGCAGTTCTAAAGGAAGTGGAGGAAGCTGAGGGGAGAGTGATACTCTTCATTGATGAAATCCATCTAGTCCTTGGTGCAGGTCGAACTGAGGGCTCCATGGATGCTGCCAACCTCTTCAAGCCTATGCTCGCTCGTGGTCAGCTACGATGCATTGGTGCTACCACGCTAGAGGAATACAGGAAGTATGTAGAGAAGGATGCAGCATTTGAAAGAAGATTCCAACAGGTCTATGTGGCCGAACCCAGTGTTGCTGACACTATCAGCATCCTTCGAGGGCTGAAAGAGCGATACGAAGGTCATCATGGTGTTCGGATTCAGGATCGTGCTTTGGTTGTTGCAGCTCAGTTGTCTAGCCGCTACATCACAGGTATGTATTATATCTGGGTTCTTTTTTTCTTTTATTTATGTTTCCCTTCGTGAAAACTTGGTGATTTTGATAACATGCATTTCATCTACCTACGATTGCATACATGGTTTTACAGGGCGTCATCTTCCTGACAAAGCAATTGACTTGGTGGACGAGGCCTGTGCAAACGTGAGAGTTCAACTTGATAGTCAGCCTGAGGAAATTGATAACCTTGAAAGGAAGAGAATGCAGCTAGAAGTGGAACTCCACGCACTTGAGAAAGAAAAAGACAAGGCTAGCAAAGCACGTCTTGTAGAAGTAAGTAGTGTTCTCTTCTGCATTGTGAAATATTTTTAATGGTTTCTGCTGTTGGATTGCGGGCTCTTATTTTACTTGGTTTAGAGGTTCTAATTGCTCGTGTTGCGTTCAGGTGCGAAAAGAGCTTGATGATTTAAGGGATAAACTTCAACCGTTGATGATGAAGTACAGAAAAGAGAAGGAAAGGATAGATGAGCTTCGCAGGCTCAAGCAGAAACGAGAGGAGCTCTTGTTTGCTTTACAGGAGGCTGAGCGACGATATGATCTTGCCAGAGCTGCGGACCTGCGATATGGGGCAATTCAGGAGGTGGAATCCGCAATACAACAGTTAGAAGGAAACGCCGGCGAGAATTTGATGTTGACGGAAACTGTTGGACCAGATCAAATAGCTGAGGTTGTGAGTCGCTGGACTGGCATACCAGTGACGAGGCTGGGCCAGAATGAGAAAGAAAGGTTAATAGGACTTGCTGATAGACTGCACCAGAGAGTGGTGGGACAAGATCAAGCAGTCAGTGCTGTTTCGGAGGCAGTGTTGAGGTCAAGGGCCGGGCTGGGAAGACCTCAACAACCCACGGGCTCATTCCTGTTCTTAGGGCCAACTGGTGTTGGTAAGACTGAGCTCGCAAAGGCTCTTGCGGAGCAACTTTTTGATGATGAAAATCAGCTGGTGAGAATAGACATGTCTGAATACATGGAGCAACACTCTGTGGCACGGTTGATTGGCGCACCACCTGGGTATGTCGGCCATGAGGAAGGAGGCCAACTAACGGAAGCTGTGAGGCGAAGGCCTTACAGTGTAGTCCTCTTTGATGAAGTGGAAAAAGCACATACATCTGTGTTTAATACTTTACTTCAGGTCTTGGATGATGGGAGGTTGACTGATGGGCAAGGTCGCACTGTGGACTTCAGGAATACCGTCATCATCATGACTTCAAACCTTGGAGCAGAGCATCTCCTGACTGGACTCTCGGGAAAATGTTCGATGCAAGTAGCTCGAGATCGAGTCATGCAAGAGGTATCTTTTTGCAGTATTTTTTTGGGGGTTACAATCTTATTGTTGAATTTTATGTGTAGGGTAAAGGGTAGCGTTTTCTTCTTGGGGCTGTAGTCGCTTAAGTACTTTGCTTGTACAGGTGAGAAGGCACTTTAGGCCAGAACTGCTGAACCGGCTCGATGAGATTGTGGTATTTGATCCTCTTTCACATGACCAACTGAGGA